TTTTATACAGGTAACGAGTTCAAACAGGTGCAATTAATACAGGCAATGAGTGGAGGATAGGAGGGCTTCTTAAAGACAAGCTAACAGGTCTGTGAGAGCCAGAATTCTTGCGGGTTGGTAGGTGATCAAATACTTATTTCATGATATAAAATGGAAATAAATTATTTAAAAATCTAACAATGTGATTTACTGGAATTTTTTTGTAGATTCTGTCTCTCACAGTTGAGGTGTACCTACGATGAACATTACAGAACTGTCCGTTCTCTGTAAGTGGGAAAACTTGAAAAATCAGCAGTGTATCAAATACTTACTTGTCCCACTGTCGTTTCAGACTTAAATGTTCTTGCAAACATTTGTTCACAAAATATGGCCTGTGCAAACTAAACAAAATAGATAACAGTGATATAGTTTTAAATACTCTTTTTATTGAGAAAATATAATTCTATGTCCCTACACAGTTTCTTTGTTAAATAATGTAAAGCCTGTCGCCATCCATGTGGAGGTAACAATGGGATGTTCAATCATGTAACACTTGTAGAATATGTGAACTTTATACATGAATAGTGATCAACGAAGTTTTATTTTTTCTCTTTTATGTACTTTACAACATTGAGTACTATTCATGTACAAGGGAACAGTGATGTCTATTATCTAGATATATATGTAGCATTTAACGGCTTTTCTTGTATAATCTTATCATTTTGAATGTTGAATTAATCATTAGTTACTTTATTTTATTATTAATTACATATTGTGTGCCCAAATTTTTGTTTTCATTTGCATTGCTAATCAGAATAGTAGCAGGTTCCTGTTACACCTGGCAGCATTTGAGAGTGGTTAAAGACCACACTGTAGACACATGCTATACCTTTCATCTTCATCTGTCCATCTCTCGTGTGTCATGAATTGTGAATTTATCTTATTGCTTCTCGCCTAACACGGCATGGCATTTTAAGCACCTGTTAATCTGTGTATTGTACTACCCTATAATAAATGTGACAGTATCTTCTGTTGGCCTCACTGTCTATCTGTTACAGAATATTAAAACAGGAAGGTTTGAGCTGGCATCTCAAACTGATAACATAAAGATTAGAACAATTTAAGATTTCACTGCTTGCATATGAGGAGAAAAATCATATTGCATGTACAGTATATGTTGTAAAGTTCAATTTATAGCAAAGGGGCTCCCGTGAAGAAGAGCTTAGATGGAAAAAAGGTAACAGTGAAGAGGACTGTGCTGTGTGTCATGTCTCTCTTATCAACATGACAGCTGTATACTCCCAGTACGTGAAGGCTGGGAGATTAATAACTGAGCATGAGCAGATGTGTCCTCTGGCCAGAGACCGCCACTAGGCTGGACACCCTCATTTTTAGAGGTGTGGATAGTGGTGAAATAAACATAACCCGGTGAAAACTATCCTGTCATCATGGTGCCATGAAGTGTATTGTAGAAATATAAGAGCATCTACAGTGGCAAAACTATACTTGAAGGCAACAATTACTCCTTACTTAATATACTGTACAACAAGCTACACCCTTGCAAGCTGTAGTAAGCCCCTTCTGGCGACAGCCCGCTCTCAAAATGATCAGCAGTAAACCCAGTCCCACTGCTGCAACAGTCCTGGCAAATATGACATCCTTAATTGGGAAAATTCATGAAATACTTTGATGCCTGTCTGAGGCTTAAGACTAACTGGAATGATTCCCTTAAAATGTAGTGCTTACCATATCTTCACACACATCTAAAGGTCAGGCTTCTGGAAGGTCAGATACAGTTTTAGTGCACAAAAAATATTGTTTTTATAACTTGTTGCTACCCAGCTTGGGTATGTATAGACAGTATTTAAAAATATTTTCTTAACACTGTAGTATTTATATTTTTATAACTGTGTCTTTTAAACCTCCCTTATGAGTGTACTTTTACTAACTTTTAATTCATATTCAATCTCAAGTGGACAGTCACAGCAATCTTACAGACTCTAACAAAGAGCAAATACTGCAGAAACCCATTTCAGCTCTGCTCTTATAACTGAATAAACAACCTATGTGGAACTTGTGTGTGAGGTGGGAATCATTTGATTATACTTTTGAATGTAATCTCATTTTGTATACCGCTTAGTCGCGAATGGGGTCGAGCCGCCTCACGGCCTGCATCGGGCGAAAGGCGGGGGACGCGTGCGCACACACACACTTGCTTTGAGCCAGTGGGTTTTGGGTGAGCAGTTTGGGGTGGTGAGGAGAGAGAAGACGGGTGGGTTGAGACTGGAAAAAGCTAGAAGCATGTGGTAGAGAGATGGGGAATGAGAGCCCTGATGTCATGGTATTACAATTGCATTTAACATTTGAGCATTTTCTTTCCTTTCTAACTGCAAACAGTTTAATCAAACCATGCCAAGTTACCCCAGGTGATTACTGTGAATAAACCTGGCTTGTGGCAGACTGAAAGCATCCCCCTTTTTTATAACTAGGAGCACTAAAGAATACTCAGCTTATCTGTGAACGCAAATGGGATTTTGTAGAAAAAGCAAAAGCATTTCTGTTGCAGATAAAGAGCTAGAGGGAAACTAAAACACCCAGATAGTCCTACCTCCATCTTTATCTGTGGCTACAGGAGGACCTCCCACACCCCAAACCAGCTCCCACACCCAAACTAGGAAGTCTGTTGCCATGGCAACTGTCATGTCCCACCTACCCTGACCTTCCTTAAGAACATGTTGCTGTTCACAGACAGCATCCGTAAACAAAGACAAGACATAGTGAATTATTAGATCATTGCATTGTATTAAGAATCAGTCTTTCCTCAATACAGATGTAACTTTTTTAATTTCCCTGTGGCATTAATAAAGTACTCTGTCTAACTGTGATAAATGAACTTGACCTTAAAATAGTGGTACAGTGGTAAGATGTCATTGTACTGTGAATGCTTCTATAATAATGACCTGATGCTAGGCATGTACATTAATCAGCGCTGCTGGAGAAGCCTCTGTACCTGAAAAAGAGAGCTCTACATTTTTGTGTATATCCTTCACTACACAACTCTAGTCTTGTTCTATTACCACTTCATAAAGTGTGGAAGCAATTTACATTTAATAAGTCGAGATTCTTTGAGGTTTAGTGACATAATTCCCAAGAAAACACCTTCAAAACAGACTGGGTAAGGGATGTACACAAACTGACAGGGATTAAATACACAACATGTGTGTGTGTGTTCTTGCACTTGCTATATAGTGAGGACCAAAAAATGTATATTTTGCTACAGACTGAGGACATTTTTGCTGGTTCTCACTTCCTGAAACAGCTTTTTGATGGTTAAGACTTGGTTTTAGGGTTCAGATTAGACTTAGCTTTAGAGTATGGGTTATGGATATGCATTTAGTTCAAATGGTTAAGGTTAAGGTAAGGGGCTAAAGAATGTGTTATGTCAGTGGGTGTCCTCACAAAGATAGAAGTACACGTGTGTGTGTGTGTGTGTGTGTGAGAGAGAGAGAGCAAGAGACAGACATATGTAATAAAAAAATATCTTCGTTCTCCACATCCTGGAGTCAAGCTAGCACGCGAAAAAGAAATCCACCAAGTTTTAACCTTCTGATAACATGTCAGTTTATATATTGTTGTATTAAATTCCAATCCATGAAACCATCATGCATAAATCCAAGGAGCTATGAGATTCAGAGATGTAAGAGCCAGTGAACATTCAATTTATTACCATACTGTGACAGAAATCTCAGAGCTTTTATAGTAGATGATGGAAGAAGCCTGTTTTGTGGCTTTGGACACAAATATTTGGAGAACTAAGAGAAGAGTGAGAGCTTCTTACTGCTGCTGCTAAAGATCCACTTCATTATTAACTACTGAAAATAGCTAAATTGCAAACGATATCAACAAATATTTTTATTTTCTGTTTTGTTTTTAACTAAGTGTATAAAATATGCAGTTCAAATTAAAATGCATTCACAAGTCCAGCAGGCTATAATAAGGGTGTGGACCCTCACTGGTCAGAGGCAGTCAGGTTAGGAGCAGATAAGAAAAAGTTCCAGCCGTGCTGCCTGGTCCACCCTAGATGTCATCACATTATGCTAATGAGCCAGGGGGCTTTAAGTGCCCGAGCCCAGTAGGCTGAGAAGCAGGAGACACACAACAGGCATAAAATATGAACATGTTGAGAAAGGGATGTGTCGGCAAGCCTTAAAAAATGCAACACTACATGCAGAAAGGTGAGTGTGTAACATAGAGAAGGCCGCAGAGACCAGACCAGGCCTCGTGGCTCTGCAGCACAAATGTGATGTTTGTGCAGGGTTAAGGATGCTTGTTTTAACTGAATTTAACAGAATTTAACAGAATTTAACAGAATTTTCTTGTCTTTTTAAATATATGTCTCTTTTCAAACAGCGTTTATACCACATTGTTAAAATTTTCACTGGACAACAACCTCTGCCTGCATCACTGATGGGTCACCTACCTCGGTCTTGCAGGATACAAACAGCAGCAACACACGCTGCTAATGGTTATGTCTTGTGCCCTGGACAGGATATCATCTTATACTGTAAGTTTATTAAAGAGACACTACAGTATAGATGATGTACTATCCAGGGTCTCATTCCTCCTCCAGCAATAACAGGACACACTCAGGCCTGACTGACTGCAGGCTGCAAACACACTGCAGAGGAGGGCCATCAAACCGTTACCATTACTATGTTTAGTAATGGTAAGGGTTATAATAGCCCTCGCTCAATGTCATCTGGACCAGCAGAATGAAGACAGGAACCATTTGTGATCAATGTGTTATTCATGAAGGACATCTTTGGATTTTTATGTGCTTGTGGATGCATGGACAATAAAGCTTATAGCTCCCAAACAAATGAGTACCTCATTATTTGATCAAAACCAATTTAAGGCAGGGTATCAGAATTATAAATATCTTGTTTGAAAGATTACTTTAATGTACAGGCTTGATGTATGATGATCTGCTCGAACACTTTGAAGCAGCAGTTGGCTTGTCTATGCAGTGATCTCTGCTGCACAACTGGCTTGTCTAATCACTAGGACGCAGCCGCTGCACAGAGAGCTGGAGGGCTCGACACAGCTTCTGTGAGACATTCATCAAGCCTCACTTTAGGCCACTGGCTGGTTATTCATCAAGATCCCTCAAATAGAGTAACAGTTAAGTTAACTCACCGGCATCAGGAATGAATCTAATCACCATTATATGACTCATTTTAGCATCAGGTTAGTGCTCCATTTTGCCATCCATTAGGGAGCCAGTTCAGCCTTCAGGGACAGACTTGGGCTTTATAAAAGCCAAAAAGGCTGAGGCAGGGAGAAGGGGCAAGAGGAAGGGGAGTGAGGAAAAGGGAAGAAAGCAGTGGAACAAAAAGTGATAGTCACAGGGATGGATGGCCACACTTCAAAGGCAGTTGAGAGGGCTAAAGTGAAGTGGGAGTGCAGGGTGCATCAGGGACTTCTGACTGAACATGACTGAGCAGGCCCCACTTCAGTTTATCTGTAACACATGTTCATGCATGGTGCCCGCCAAGTAAAGAGCTCTGAGAGCCAAAGATAAACCATCGGCCTTTCCACAGCTCACCAGACCTGCCATAAACACACTGTCAGATGGGTCAAAACATATGTTTGTTACCTAAAATGCAGTATATGATTGCTAAACAGATGCGTATTTTGCAGCCTTAAATCTTTACTAACAGATACAGTGACAAGAAAATGTGAATGCTTTGGAATGGTCTGCATTTATGTTTTGAATTAAAGCCAGATCTTCAAGTTACATTAATGAGTTATAACCTACAGCACAACAATCACCGTGATCTTCGTGTCCTTATTCAAACATGGACAAAGTAGGCTGGAAAAAGTATGTGAACTTCTTGGTTAATGATATGAACAAAAGCTGATGAGAGTCGAAAGTTAGCAAACCTAGAGTCCAGCCAATGAAAGAGTTAAATATTCATCAGTCCACAGTTACACAAACTGTCATTAAATCGAGATGACTTAATTCAGCGGCTAATCTTCCTAGATGTGAGTACCTAGCTGAATTCAAAAGCACAACACAGAACGCTCATTGAGGTAAAACAGAAACCCAGAGTGAGTGCTAAAGCAATCACTGGAGCTGGTAACATCTCTGTTCACGCATAAACCATACATGCATCATGAATGAGCTCGAGAGCTGTTCACACCAGATATCCTGAGAATGTGGCTGAGCTTAAGCAGGTCTGTAAGCAGGACTGCAGGCCATTAAACAGGGACGGGTTTCACAGGAACTTGAGAAGATAAAGAAATGGTGTGATAGTAATATGCTATCTATGAATATAGATAAAACTAAATTTATGGTATTTGGGAATCGTAGACTAGATAATGAACTGCAAGTGAAAATAGGGGGAGCTAATATAGAACGAGTATATGAAATTAAATTTCTAGGTGTCATAGTTGATGATGTTAACTGGTCAATCAGCTGAATGTTCAGTTTTAACTACAACTACATTATGACTAGTGGACCTGCAGGATGTCCACAACGATGTATTTGGCTGCTGCAAACCTTGGAATAGAGATGTGGGCCAAATCATTACCATCAGCTTCCACAGCTTCTGGTGTTTGTTGGGTTTGTGTGTTTAAAGCCATTATTATTATTATTATTATGATGAAAAGACAAAGAGATGTTCACTTTTTTATTTCTGTAGTAGTTGAACTGTGGCCTTCCCTCTGTTTTGGAATTGATTTGTAATGTAAATAAATATATAAGGATTTACTTACATAGCACATTTCAAAACAAATGTTACAAAGTACTTAACAGCTAAAATATTGATGAGTTTAAACACAGATATAAAGGTATGTGTCAATCAAGATATGGGCAAGAACAGGCTTAATGATTAATCAGATGGGAGTGTGGATGTAGAATATGTATCCATGTAGTAATACTGCTTGCAAACCAATGATGATAAGATGATGTTAGGGGGTAGGACTAGATAAGTCTAACTTCTTCCTACTCCGTTCAAGCATGTACTAGGTATAAGCAAATTGAAAATATTTTTGTGGATATGTCTGGAATTATGTGTGATTACATACTGACTGTTGTTACATGTTTGAAAGAATAAATAAATCAAAATCAAACACACTGTGCTTGTTCAGGTCACTTTCCCAGTGAATTGAATGAGAAAGTGTGCCCAGACTTTTGACTGGTGATTAATGTACATCAAATTCTTGGGTTAAGGCCTGACAATGACCTGCAACATCTCCAGTTCGTGTCCAGCTTGGGACCTTTACAACATGTCACCCCTCATTTCCTGTCATCTTTCTACTCTCACCAAATAAAGGCATAAACTTCCCCCACAAAACAGTCTGAAACAAAAGCTCTTATTGTTGTAAAGATTGTTTCCACTACTAAACATGTTATAGGTAACATCTTTATATATAAAAATTTAATAACATCTGATGAGACTGCACAACAGGATTCAAGAGAGCAAGTGCATAGTACAATTTCTTCTCCTCACAGGTACAGTATGAGCTCTGGAGCTGGGCAGTACATGTCACATAAGAGGTCCACACATCAGACTCGTGATGAGACCTTGTCTTTCGTTCAACTCTTCAGGCCTTTGTAGAGAAAAATAAAAGAAAAGCCATCTCGGCCTCATAATCGCTTCAGGATTTCACCATTAAAATCCTTGCATCCTCTTCATTTCCTCAGCTTGACTGAGAGCTTCAGCCTTACTTCCCTCAGGTAGACCTGACTCAGGTCCTTGCTGACCTCATGGGCGATCCGTGCTACCAGCTGGCCAGCTGTGCCAATCACCATCCTCTACAGCCACAAAGAATACAGCAACATCAGGCACCAGGGAACAGACAGGTAAACAGTCCCATTTCAGAAAGGTTTTTAAAAAACTCAGATCAGATTCTTAACTGCATCCCTGCCTCATTCAAAACCTGGGTGGGTGTTTATAATGAGTCACCTGACTACCTACAAACCCTATAAACATCATACTCCACAAACCTAAGCTGGTGTTCCATCTAAAAGATTGTCAGAGTCCTTACACTCCAAAACTGTCAGTTTCAATTTAGCCAAGGTAAAGTGGGAAACACGCTGCTGTATCGGGAACTATTCACAAAATAAGATTTGATTTCTCTGGTCAGTCTACTCATGAACCCAACATGGTGTAGGGGTTTAGGCCTGAGTCGCCCTTCTTGAAGGTCACTGGCCTTGAAACATTTCAGTGGCTCAGATGTACCTTCAAATATTCTTTGTCATCAAATATGTATGATTCAGAAAGGCTGCTCAAATATTTACAAGGACAAAAAGTGGAAGTATGGGGAATGGCAAACAGGTATTAACAGTGATATTTCAAACAGCAGTTGGTTTGTGTTGCATTCATGTGATGTCTGATCTGCCAAACAGGAGAAAACATTTGCCTGGGTGTTCTGATTGCAGTAATATTCCAGCTATGCATACAGTATGTTTACATACAGGTTAAAATGTAGATCCAATGTGTAAATGTGCAGCGAGCACGTACCACATGAGAGTCTTTCATGGCATAAAGTTTCACCGAGATATCGAGCTCGCCACCTTCTCCATCTCGCCAGAATTCAACAGTCTGAAAACAAAAACAATTAAATGTTAAGGTACAAGTTTCTCAAAAAGCCAGTACAAGGTGGGTTAATGTGAAAGACTACTAAGTGGAACAAGAAATGTCGGCTGTCAACTTAGAACTGTGGCCTTTACTACATCAAGTCAAGTCAAGTTCAAGTGTTTATTGTCATATGCACAGTACGGAAACGTGTTTCCCTGTACAATGAAATTCTTACTTTGCCGTCCACATGAACGACACACAATACAAATGAAACATAAAGTAGATAAATAAGTAACACTAAATCTAAGGCACTTTAAAGCAGCAAATGAAGAGATATAATAAAAATATATAAGAATATAATAAGAGAATGTATGCTACCATACATACTACATTTCCCACAGTTCTTTGCTTGTGGGCCTGAATATGATATCTAAGTGTTAAATATTGTGCTGTTAGTTTTGTCAAAAATGCCCCAACCACATATAGCAAATAATAAAAACTACAGTACAATCTGACTTGATGTGACCTGGAATACTAGATAGTAGCAACAAATACAGACTGAAATGATAAATATAATTATGGGAAATGGGATTTACCCAAGGCCACTGCACATGTCAGCATGAAGAGTGCAAGTTAGCTTGAAGGGCTTTAAACAGGCCACAGAATCATGTGGTGTCATCAGTAATCATAGTGTCCCCCATCAGGCACCTGTGTCAGTGAATAGGGCACCTCCTGGGGGAGATGCTCCAGAAGCTTCTCTCTGATGATGCTGGTGCAAACTTCCTCTGGACTCTGATCAGTTAGGACCTCACTGTGGTACTGCCATGGTCCTGGCTTGGCTGCAACCATGAGGTAGCTCTATTGAGAAAAAGCTTGGTTATTGATAAACAATAAAATAATAACAATAAAAACTAAACAAAAAGAAAAAAACAGATATTGGGAAAAACTAATACTGGCAACATATGAATATCACTTCCGGCTTTTTCCCGTTAGGGGTCACACAGCGAATCGTCACACTGATAATTCGCATGTTGACATTTGGCACGTTTTATGCTGGATGCCCTTCCTGACGCAACACTGACTCGAGCCCAGGAGGCAGCGGCAAGAGAGCTGTGCCCTAACCACTAGTCTATCAGGGAATCCCCAAAAACTAATACTGACAACAAATACTTAAAAACATAGCAGAAATGTGCAGAGGTATTGTATTTTTATGTGTCCATGCTGGCAACTGCCGTGGCTGAAGGCATTGTGAGTTTGGGTTGTCCGTCTGTCCTATTCTTCTCAACACAATATCTACAGTACACCTTGAGGGAGTTTGTTCAAATCTGCCACAAATGTCCACTTGGACTCAAGGATGAACTTATTCGATTTTGGTGGTCAAAGGTCACAGTGATCTCATGTCTGTCCCGAATCCTGTGGATTTGGCTGGTTGGTGGAGGCAAGCAGTGATTTCAGTTATTATGTGCAAGGGTTGAAAAGCTTCTTGCTTGCAGTTTTCTTATCAAGCCAATGGTGAAAGTTTTTTACTGTGTGACAGGCCATTTAAGTTGAGTATTCAGTTTCTGTTCTAGTTTCATCACTTTCTGTAGGGGTAATTTTTTTAAGGTGTAATGGAAAAGTTTTTAACTACATTTTGCAAATTTCCAATGGCTATATATGATATGCAGTTTTTCTGTGCACACTTCTTTCTTACTGTGACCATAGTGTACTGTGTACCTTGAGTGTGTCCACGTCCTCTCTGTCCGTAGACGAGAACATAAAGACATCCTTGAAGGAGGGCCAGCCCTGCTGGCTCCTGAGTGCCTTCAGCTGTTCTTTGCTCAGCACAGAGCTTGGCTCAGCACTGCCCTCATGCCTTGCATTGTCCTCATCAGGGGATAACTCAGAATCCCTCTCTGGCCTCTTTTTAGCCCACCGAGGCTTGACCATTAACCTGACCCTCATTTTCTGTCCATTCACTATTCCACATGTCAGCTCTGCTGTGAGATCCAGCAGCTTGTCCTTGGCTTTCACAAGGTCCACCTTAAAGTGAGAGGAGTATGAGTAAATACATCTGCAAAATGCTTCAGTACAGGTGAACATTTCTTCAAGGAGAGTCTGCTGATACTATACAATATTCATATTGATGTGAACTCCCACAAAAAGACAGCAAAGCACTGCCTGTACAATCAAAGCTTGATTCTGTATGTGTGACTCCTTGGCAATCAGTGTCACTTACAGGGTGAGGACGTCAGACAGACTAGTTAATGAGTGGTTCCTCGGTGAATCTATATGCATTATGTGGTTCAGATCTAAGATAAACTGGTGAATTTCTGGAGATGTGAATGATGTTGGCAACAGTGTTTATTCATGGAAAGAATACCTTATTGAGGACCAGGATTGCTGGGATGTTTGGGTGCTGGGCCAGACATTTGAGCACCTCGAAGTCGAGCCTGTTGCATGTCCATCTGTCTGCCACATCCACCATGACAACAACTACAAACAGTTCTGATTATAAGCTCTTGAAAGCTCTTAAATTCCACTCTTCTGTCCAATACACGAAAACACACAAAAAAAGAGCAACACAACTTATGAGAGGCTCAAAATAGATTTCTGTCATACTTAGGTCAGCTTCTTTGACTGTGTTCCAGGGATCTACGAGCATAGACTTCTCCAGCTGGTGTCTACAGAAACACAGGGGGTCATACATATATTACATTATATGATAATAATGTGTGAAAACTACCAACTTTGAATACCAACAATCTAAACCAGAAAAGCACCTTTTAACCTTTGATGGAGTGGTGAGACCCGGAGTGTCCAGTAAAATCTAAAAAACCAAACAAACAAAAAAACAACCCACACTTAGATACTGACTTAAGCATTTTGTATTAGAAGGCATTAGAAGAAATGTCGAAAATAAACTCTCACTATCTGTGTGTCATTCTCTGTCAGGACACCCAGCGCACGTGACCGTGTAGTATGTACTTTCTTGGACACAGCAAACACCTTTACAAAAGGATAATTGAAAAGTGAGCACTACCTTGTATTCACCAAGACAGAAACATTGTGGCATGCAGGTTTAAAGCAGAGGCAGTTAAGAGAGAAACCTTTCTGCCCAGGAGCTGGTTGGACAACGTGGACTTCCCAGCATTGGGGGCACCTATTATAGCCACTTTCAAAACTTTTGAGTTGTCAGGCTGATCTGGGTGTCTCAGTAACAAAGACAGCTGTTCACCTGCAGAAAACAGAGCAAGTACAATTAATCATTAGACAGACAATAAAAGTGAAGGTGCTGGCAGTAAAAACAAACTAAAGCATGAGATCGATGGCAGGATGACATCTGCAGTATTTGCGTAAAAAAGGTTGGGATCAGATGAGTTTAAGGGTGTAAATCTATGAGGCAGTGGTGTGTGGTTACCGCTGTCCGGTGGAACTGAGGCTGGGAGGCGATAAAAGCTGCCGTCTGCCTCAGCTGCTCTGCATGCCATCAGTCTATTGAGAAACCCCTCTGATGTGATAAAACAAGCAGGTGTGAAGAAAAAGCCACTCCTCCCACCTCTGCTGCAGAAGGCATGCCCTGTAAGGACAAGAGCTCCATCAGTTCACTGCCAGCAGGGCTGCAAGGAGGCTGAGTGATTATCCTTAACTGGGGTGTTAATCTGACAGTATTATTATGCACTCAGATGGTCTGTGTCAAAAATCTATTTATAAAATCAATCATGGAAATATCTCACTCTAATAAGTGTTGAAGCGCTTGTGCAGACATACTATGACCTATAGTATCAATATTTACCCAAATATGACAAGCCTACATGATACTCTGTAGATTTTTATACCATGAGTAGTACCTCAGAGCAACGTTTGTACAAGTGGCTCCCTGATTTGTGAGTATTGTGAATGTGTCAACAGGACTAACTCTGACTTTGCACACTCTGCTGCTTTGTGCTTCATGGAGACCTGGCTGAGCAACTCAATCGCAGACAGCGCGAAACACGTACTGGGCTTCCAGGTGTACAGAGCGGATCGCGTAATGGAGCTGTCCGGGAAAACGAGAGGAGGTGGAGTCTGCTTCTACATAAATGAAGGTTGGTGCACAGATGTCACAGTGCTACGGAGGACATGTACCGCAGACTTAGAGACTCTTTATCAACTGCAAACCCTTCTATTCTCCTCATGAATTTTTGAGTTTCATCCTGCTGGGTGCCTATTTAAAAAACCACAGGCCCACGCTAGCACACTACAGCTCCTGGCACAGCAGATAACTAGTGTGAAGCTAGAACATCCTGACTCTCCACTCATTGTTCTAGGGGACTTTAACAGAGAAAATCTCACCCATGAACTGTGAGTTTCATCCTGCTGGGTGCCTATTTAAAAAACCACAGGCCCACGCTAGCACACTACAGCTCCTGGCTGTGCAGATAACTAGTGTGAAGCTAGAACATCCTGACTCTCCACTCATTGTTCTAGGGGACTTTAACAGAGAAAATCTCACCCATGAACTGCCCAAATACAAACAGCATGTCACCTGTCCCACCAGGAACAAAAATCACACTGGACCACTGCTACACTATGTCCCAGGACCTGAAGTGGGCATCAAACATCAGGACCATCATCAAGAAGGCACAGCAGAGGATGTACAGAGTTCGACCTGCCCCAGGAGCTGCTGATACAGTTCTACAGAGGAATCATTGAGTCTGTTCTCTACACCTCCATCACTGTCTGCCCTTGTACACATCACGGGTCAAAAGGAGGGCGGAGAGGATCACTGTAGACCCCTCACACCCTGGACACAATCTGTTTGAACTCCTGCCCTCTGGATGGCGTTACAGGTCACTGTACGCCAAGATAACCAGGCACAAGCACAATTTCTTCCCCCCCGGCTGTCACTCTGATCGAATACTTGACCCACGACAGTATGACTTGACAATAACCCTCAGTGCAATACCTGTAAATATACATTGTACAAATCTGTACAGGTCTCTATTTTTAAGTACTCAATTTTATTCCTATGTATCTCATTTCACAATGAGCATTCCTCTGTCTGTCTGCATTTTTTGCTGCCTGTTTATACTGCTTATTTTGTATTGTTTGCACTGTTTTTTGCTTGTTAATACTGCTTATTTTGTTATAATACACAGCCTCATGCTGGTTTACTGTTTACTTGCCCCTTGCATGGGGATATATATACATTGAGAGCCAATGTACCAGAGTCAAATTCCTCGTGTGTCCGACACACCTGGCCAATAAAGCAGATTCTGATTCTGATGTGGCAGCATAATTATCCAGTTGGTTTCCCAGCCTTTCATTGATGACCAATTAACACCAAAAGACAGAGAATAAGAGTGCTAAACAATTCACAACCTAAATATTTGTTAAAATAAGCTTTACAAGTGTTTTATGAGGACGGAAATGCATTTTGGTGAGCAATACTGACTGTGAGCATAACGTTTGTTTACATAAGAAGTAATTAAACACATTTTCTACTATGACTACTACTATCTCACTACTGTACTTAAGTACAGATGTGAGATATTTGTACTTTACTTGAACATTTCCATTTTACACTACTTCACACTTTGACTTACACGTTAGAGGCAAATATTGCACTTATTACTCCACTACATTTATCTGATCATTTCAGCCACTAGCCACTTTTCAGAATCAGACTAATAAAACAAAAGACAGTATAATTATAAGATTGTATTAATTCCTAGTGTAAAATTCACAAGCTACCCAACCGTATGTAAATTCATTGAAATTAAATGCATATAAATATAATTACTTACCTTTAACCAACATTAAACTGAACAGTGACGCCTGCGGGATTTTATTTCATAGCATGCACAAGAAGTGCCAATGGGCGTAAATCTGGTTTCAACTATAAGCTTCTCTCCTTATAATAAACCACTTTGCTCGTTTTTACGAGATACTTTCACGTGAAAACCTTTTCCACGTTATTACGACATACTGTATTTTCTCGGTTTGACCACATACTGTCAGTATTTTGTCATTATAACAATATAACAATATACTGATAACGTGACCCCTGCACGCGGTGCAGCTCATTCTAGGGGACGTAAAGAAAACTTACCTCGGGCACTTTTTGAGTAATGGGAGGACTTTAAAGAATTTAAAGTATCAGTCCTGAACGTCTCATTTAATCTGAACGTTTTACTGGGATGCCCCCCCCATCCCATCCCATCCCATCCCATATATTGTCACTATTTGTTATTCTGCTTTTCTGCTGGTGCTCTGGCTATAGTTCTACACATCACCGCAAATAAGAGGCGTTCCTGGGGTAAATAAAGGACACAATGACACCACGGTTATCCATTCATTCATAATCACAGTCTGTGCCTCAGCAGAGCAAATAAAGAGCAATGATTTGTGTTGTCACGCGCCTTAAACCGAACTATGCGCTACTGAAACTTAAGGTCACATTTCCCCCATTGTGTAACGTCTATCTCGTGCTTTACTGGGACCCAGAACATTTCTCCGCTATAAACTATTATGACAACAGAGCCAACTGTCTGGGACTGACCCGTTGTGAAAAGCCATGACGTCTTGTCCTGTCGAGCAGACACGACGACCTGTCTGCAGAGGACGGAGGAGCATCTGAAAAACCCACCACACAGCCTCGAAGCCATTTAGCTGTGATAACAGTTACTGTCGTATTTCAACTTAGAGGACAGTATTTAACGATTAAGGTGTTAAAGCTCACGCTGCCCACAGGCTGAATGAGTGAAGCCATATTGCTCTAAACAACGATGGACGACTTCCCCTATGAAGAGGGCCCTCACAGAGATCGACTGCAGGCTGCAGCGCCCCCTAATGCTCCATATGTCAAATGACGAGTTACAGTCAGACTTAATAGTGGGTGTCATCAGAGATTACAATATATTAATACTCAAACATCCCATTTGACTACTGGCCCCCGTTTAGAGTATTTTGTTGAATCAGGGTCTAAGTAACTATAAAACCATAACCATAAAATGATTTCATAAGAGCAAAGCACTAAGGAAAGGAAGAAAATAAGATAAAGAATGTGCTCAACAATAATCCACTTTAGAGCCACTAAAGGAGAAAAAAGAGGAAATCACTTAAGTGGACAAAGCCACACTGGAAGTTGTGAAATCGTTTTGTGAGATAATGATATTTTGCATGTATGTGTAAATAACTAGTAAAATAACAGCCATGCATCATTTTGCAGCAAATCGTAACTCCTTGAAGATTCAGTTTGCAGCTGTTTATGGAAGGTAGGATATTCAGAGGCTAAATTCAGGCAGCAGTGATTCCAAATCAGCTCATCACAGTGCACAAACACAGCTGCCGACATGAGTTCAATATGGATGACAGCACTCAAAAGATTTTTTTGCTTGAGTGATATTCTCTAGATTACTTTGTGAGGGATTGTGTGCCTATAACCACAAATCAGGTTTCACTGCACAGAATTTTTCTTTCCCTCTTGTCCCCCAAGTACACGCAACAGAACTTACCCTAGAGGCTGCCTAAAGCACATTTGTGACGGTGCTGTTGAGGATATATCAAGCATCCACACTTAAAGCGATAATCTAAAGAAAACACTGCTTGCTCCCACACCCTGTAACTGTTCAGTGCTAATTCACAGTGACAAGCTGATATAATGACTTGATAACTATGATGCTTGTGAGGTTAATCATCAGACTAAAAGGACACTGTTAGCATATTGATTGATTACTATAGCATATTGTTTTCATTGTGTATGGCAAAGCCAGGCACAACAGATGTCTCCATATAGTCCATCAAACACGCCTGCTGTTTGTTAGTCCTTGAGGACTTGCTCTGGGCGGAACAAACACCTCCATTTGGAAGGATGATGAAGGATATCAGGTAGCTCACAATCTGTCATCATCTAACTCTAAAAGCCCAGCAGCAATGGAAGGGCAACAAAAATTGAGCTTTTAGCAGACATTTACTGCTGAACAGAAACCAAAGGGATATTTGAGGATCAGTAATTTTGAAGTTTGAACTTTCTCTCTATCTGCTTCCCTCCCACTCTCCCTCTCAAATTCATTCAAGGCCCTTTCTCCCTCCAGGCTTTCCTCATATGGCCATTTCATGTGGGAATGCATCAGAGTTCTCTCTATGACTGCATTAACTTTGGCCTTCAGAAAGAGTTTTTTCTCTTTCTCTAAAAAAAATGACAAAAAGGCTTTGCCTGCAGACCATTTAATCATAAACTGTAGCCCACTTTTGCCATTTGAAGTGCACTTACCAATGAGATTCAGCAGGGTGTGATGGAAAACCATGCACTCTTTGCTGCTGCATTTCAGTGTGCCATTGATTCCTAATCAATCTTATTTTCTGTAATTCAAGCAGAGCATATCTCATAGGTCAAGTCTCCCTTAATGTGCAGATTTTTTTTTTTCCTGCAGCCAAACCAGGTACTGTCAGGTTTGATCTGGAGTCCTCCCTTTTTGGTTTGCTCTTAATACTAGCTGGGATTAGACATGTGACAACTGGGAGTTTGTAATCAGAAAGACTTGCTGCTCAAGAGAAATAACAAAGTTCATGGAATAGAAAGCAGGAGCCATGGGGCATGTCAACAGGGAGTGGTGGTGAGAAAAAAACACTCTGTCAGCACATCAGAGCATCCATCACTCTATCAGCACCGATTGCAGAGAGAGGCATGATGATGCACAGCTGGCTGGCTGTATATAAAACAGCTGCTCCTCAGCTTTTTTCCGCTGAGGACTTCAGCATAGACAGGTTATTTGTAAAGTATCCCACAGATTAATGAATGGATGGATGAATTGTCACATCTGACAAATGAGAACACAGTGAGATTTAACTGTTATGGCTTACATGATGTCCTGAAGGTCCCCTAAGGTGCCACAATTTAGCAATCACAGCTCCATATGTCCTTGCTCAGACTACTTTTTAAAGGAGGTGATTTAGCTACCAAACTAACCATATAGGTCACACTGATGCTCTGATTGTACAGTCTCTCACAATCTCCCCCTCATTGGGGGACATGGGGGTGGGGGGGCTTTTATTCATTCTAGACTTGCAATCGATGGGACTTGTCTGTGAAGTGGATCGATAATGCCTCCCTTTGAAATCATCAATCACATCAGCAATGAATTTAAAAAAGCGTAATTAGGAACAGCATTTCTTAAACATCCTGTATTGATGCCATCTTTGGTATGGAGAAAGACACCATTCTGCGTCATTAACTTTGCATTATTGCCTGATGGAGCCTGCTGTTCCTACTTCCCCACCTGCTGAATGCAGAGCGCTGTGTGTGATTGGGCTTTCAGAGCAAATTCTCCCCTCTTTCACTTGCTGATGGGGGAGGTGAAGCTTGCAGGCCTAAACTGGCTGGAGTATTGTAATAAGTCCAGTGCATACTAGAAGCCAGACAGTGGAGTTCTCCCTCATAGTGCTGGATTTCATAAAGGTTTGTTGAGTTGAACATGCAAAATTTTGTCACAATAACTTTATTTGATTAGTTTTGTGCAGGTTCTGACCTGACATGACAATACATGGCCACGGGCACTCATTCTCAAGCATTCCCATAACTCACTGCAATCTTCAATGCTGTTCATCTGTCTCTCTGGTAATAAAATGGTATCAATACTGTAGAAAGGGCAGGTGGGTGGGTGTAATGGAGTAATTTATTTTAGTTGTCACAGGAATATAAGTCTTTGATTAGGGAGCTATACACATCAGGTTGCACAAATAGAACCTTTCATCAAATCACGAAGCATGTGACATTATTGACCATGGATTCTCCTCACTGGGTTTTATCTTCCCCAGCAAAATCCAGCAGTAAAATACAGCTCAAGACAACTCTTATGCCAGTGTACTGGAGCAGTCTTACATCTGTTCCACTAACAAGCGTGAACAAATTGTATTTCTGAAAGGAAAAGTGAAGATGTTTATGCAAGAAATAACGATAGTCACTGTTACTATAAAAGGCAAACTGAGTCTAGTAGAAATTTTTGACATTGTTGAGACGAGTCTGGTAGTTCCTTTGTGGATGTCTTCCTCTTCTTCTCTTCTACTACTGATAGTTTCTACTTTAATTCCTAAGGAGAGAAAAAAAAAACATGGCCAGCACTCCAGTGCAATGGAGATGAAATTGAGTTTTGATTGTTGCATCCCCACCCTGTGCATACAGGTGTGGTGTAGAGATTTAAATGAATTAGACTACATGGTTAGACTTCATAGACAACATTAAGCATGTTACACAAAATGTAATATACAGAATGAGCAACTGTTACTATTTGGGCATCAAGCCCAAAATATCCACAGAAAAGTCTGAATAAAGTAGTGAATGAACATAATAAATACAGTTGTTCTTATACAGGACACAAAATAAATCATCACAAGCTCATCACAAATCAACACAGCTCATTAATTATCTTGGAGAATCTTTGCCAAAGAGTATAAAAGCTGCTCCGAGGCATGGTGCCCAGTACCTTATACTACGAAACTTCTTAGTTGTTTTCCTTTTTCTTAAATACATCATTATTGCTTACTAATTAAAAATTTACAAAATTACTTTATAATGCAAGAATCCATCACTGCGCTCTGACTCTCAGAGGCTGTGATGGCTGTATTTATGAGATGTCACTGTGAAGGATACTGGATATTGAAAAAAAGGACCCCAGATTATAAATTGGTGCGACATGAGGATGTCAGATTTTAAAAATAAATAAGCTCACATAACTGCCCCCAAACATGCTGGATTTTCAAAATAAAAGCCCAGGTTGCAAAATAATATTACATGAAGACCCCAAAACATGCCAGCTCTTCAAAATAAAAGCACTAAATTGCAAATTAAACTCACATGAAGGCCCCAAAAACATGAAAAATTTTCAAAATAAAAGCCCCTGATAACTAATTAGGCTCACATGAAGGCCCCAAAACATGCCTGATTTTCAAAATAAAAGTCCCTGATTAGAAATTCAGCTCACATGAAGGTCCCAAACATGCTGAATTTTCAAAATAAAAGCTAAGATTGCTAATTAACCTCACACGAAGGCCCCAAAATGTGCCAGACTTTTAAAATAAAAGCCCCAGATTGCAAATTATGTTCAAATCAAGGCCTCAAAATATAGATGACTTTCAAAATAAAAGCCCCTGACTACAAATTAAGTTCACATAAAGGCCTCAAAATGTGCCAGACTTTTAAAATGAAAGCCCCAGATTGCAAATTATGTTCAAATCAAGGCCTCAAAATATAGAAGACTTTCAAAATAAAAGCCCCTGACTACAAATTAAGCTCACATAAAGGCCTCAAAATATGCCTGACTTTTAAAATGAAAGCCCGATTACAAATTAAGCTCACCTGAAGATCACAGAATTTTTCTAAACTTCATACTTTTAAAATATTTAGCTTTATTCTGAAAATTTTGCCCCATTCAAATGAATGGGGAAATTCTACTTCAACATACTTTGAGCTATTTCATGTATTAAAATGTTCAGTTCTTCAGGGACATTCATGCTTATATTCAAAATTTTTCTAAACTTCTAAACTTGGCTTTTATTATTTTCAAACTAAAAGCCAAGATTCATAACTAACCTCAGACAAAGGCCCCAAAACGTGCCAGATTTTCAACATAAAGGCACCAGATGGCTAATTAACTTTACATGAGTGTCCCAAGACATGCAGGATTTTCAAAATAAAAGCCCAGATTGCTAATTAGCTTCACATAAGGCCCCAAAATGTGCCAGATTTTTAAAATAAAAGCCGCTGATTGTAAATTATTTTCAAATGAAGGCCCCAAAGTGTGCCAAATTTTCAAAATGAAAAACCCAGATCACAAATTCATATGAAGGCCTTTTTACAAATTTAAGCAATTTTATTTCTACTTCTCAGTTTGGCCCTATACCTTCCATTTTCAGGATCGATCCTTCAGCAGTCAGCATCCACACACATTTTCTTCAGGAAATGCATTCTTCTAGTTTGTGTTATTTCACTAATTTAATGCCCCGGTCTAGGCAAACGCTTTACAAATATATTTAGTGTTGGAGTTTGGCATGACTGTACCTTTAAACCACAAGGCTGTGCTGCGCAGCACACAGCGCAGTCTGTTTTTATCCCAGGTACTGCGCTTGCGCCGCAAGTTGCTGCCGCAGACAGCAGCAGCAGTGATTCGGCAGCGCAGGGCATCGGGAGGAAATCTGTCCGTTTTAAACCATGGCGACATATTAAACGATGCCTTTCGCAGAGGTAAACGGAGAGTAAGTAGTTGTATTTCAATAACGCGCCTGTTGCCCGGTACTGTCTGACATCTTCTCAAATGGTAGCATTGAATATGAGGATAGATTGACAAGGCAACAATGGGACTGTGTATGTTTCAGGCTGGCAGCTAGGTTAGCTAGCCAGGAGCCTGGGCAGTCAGCTGGTACGCTGACTGGCAACATGCAGGTGTATGGCTACAACACTGGTCTCCTGTACTGTGTATGTCTGCTACAAGTCCTCACGGCCGTACTGCTTCTAATGGGCCAAAAATGTCATATTCAGCCACTAAATGAGTCACAAATTCTTGTATAAAGCTGATGGTAATTGAATGAAATGGGGCTCGCGTTGTTGAGGTGGTTAGCTAGTAGTTTTTGCAGTATAACAACCAGTGAGGAGTAGCCTATGCAAAGCTGCATTTGCACAAATCATCGTGGTTATATCCCCATCATTATAATTTTCATTAACGCTATGCATTTAGTGTTATCTTAAGAGAAAGTCTAAGTTCTTTTCCTGGAAGAAGCCATCTGTGGAAGTTGGGAGTGTTTCCATCTTATGCTCTTCCCGGCTTTCAAAGTATGGTGTAGCTGTCACTAAGTTGTCTCCTACTGTTAGTCTGCGACATGCTTATTAGGACATGCATGTATTTAGCTATCCAAACACACTGTGGGTCGTTGTCACCCTCGGTACAGTCGATGCCTACGCTCTCCGCTTGCTTGGGTGTCTGCAAATAGCATCTCTTATGATAAGAACAGGAGAAAGTGGTTCCACCTGCAAAGACGAGCGTTAAAGGTGATAACAAAAGGTTGACGTCACCGGACTCATCCTGATCCTGCCGCACAACCTCAACCACTGAGTAGCTGGAGGGGGAGCACAGGAGGAGTAGTTTCAGAGGAGGAGAGCAGCTTTTTGCCACACCTCTAATGGTTCGTGTCTGGAAGGAGAAGGTCTATCTCTGATCAAATTTCGGGTATCCTAAGGGCGCACTTAACTAATGGGATCCTATCGATGTTTCTCCCCATCCAAGCCTGATCTTTACACGGCGGAATGTTAATGTTGCCACAGTCTGTCCGTATTTTCTTTGGCTGCTCTGAGTCTGGACTTATTGTTGTGTAGTCGCTCTGTAATGACATGGAGCTTGACGGATATGATTAAAAAAAAAAACCCAACACTACAGTAAAGCACCACTTCTGTGACTGACTGGACTGTGTAAGTGATGGAGTTGACTCTGCACATGGTAAGATGATAAAACTAAAATGTTATGGGGATTTGTCACAGATAAGAAGTGTTCATGGCAAATTGGGGAAGTTTTGAAAACATCTAAATATAGAAAGTCATTATTTTCTCTTTACTCTAACAAAGGTCAGACTGTTTAGTTTATGACAGGAAGGAGGATGTGCTCAGAGCTATCTTGTGCTTACTCAAACAAGAGCCCAATATTACTTGTCCAAAAGTGCAGTTTTGCAATGTAGCTTTCTCTCCCTACATTTTCCAAAGAGCAGATAATTAAATTTCAGACCATGTTGTCTGAGAAATTCAGGCCCCTAGACTCTTCTGCAATTATCATGCAGAAGGAGCCCTTTTTGCATTGGGGTGCTATGTTTCCCAGCACTATGAAGACTAATTAGGTCTTAGTAACAAATGACTGTAAGGCCTCTCCACATCTGTAAAGTGCAGCTTGCCTTTAATGACACTAAACTGAAATATACGTAGACTAATTAAAGTAAAAGGCTTCAAATATACATGATGCAAAAACTAAAAACGTCTTAACACTAATATAGATTTGTTGTAGCTTAAAGCTTCAGTTTGAATAAGATGTGTGTGATTGCTCTTACTTATAAAGGCAGCACACAAGCCCAAATGTCAGGAGTATGTCATGCTGGTCAGCACTGTAGAAAATTACAATATTTCACCAAAGTGAAATACCGCTTGAGTGCCTGTGTTAATTACAACCCCAAATCAGAAAAAGTTGGCACAGTATGTAAAATCTAAATTAAAACTAAAAAATACTTTATACTTAAACTTACTTAAGTGAAAGCTGAGTGGTGAGTAGACTACAGTGTAAGTATAATGTGCACACCCACGCAGTTTTGAAAATGCTAATCTTACTGTATTAAACTTTCTTCTTATAAGCAAATTGCAAAGCAGCTATTAGTGAGTGTTGATTGGTTTCACAGAGAGGAATCAATCACTCCAAGCACCTTACGCTGAAGGCCAGATGTTTCGTGTTTCAGAAGCTTTTCCATGTGACAGCCAAACAAGCCGATTCCCAGCATTAGGCTTCGTTTCAGTCTGTAGTAATAAGAGGATAACGTCAAAGCTCTGCTTTATTTCTTGGAGACTTCAGAGCAGGACTGTGAATAACAGATCACAATGTACAAAAAGTGAACCAGAGAACTTGAGCAGCTTTTATGTTTCAGCTGTTGTTGGGATTCACTGGGAGTTCATTAAACGACATTGATTAGTAACAGTCCTGAGTATGTGATTGTTGACAGTGAAATGGCTCAGCTAACCAGCATATTTTAGAGGCAATGATTTTCTGTGCTGGAATGAGCCACTTGGATAATGCTCATTTTGATTTTGTCAAAGCCAGTCATTTGATGCAGCATTTTAGAGAGACTACTTGAATTGGAAATGTGTAACCATGCACTCTCCCCGGTGCAATACATTCGTTCCTTTCATATTCCAGTGCACGTTAATCCTTTTGCAGGTGTTGTCTGAATTTTTATTTTCCTCACCCTGATCATTTTAGTTGAGCAAGATTTGTTGA